GGGCCATGTATCGTGAGATTTTGAGTGAAAACCTCCTTCCATCAGCAAGGGCATTGAAGATGAAACGTGGCTGGGTCTTTCAGCATGACAATGATCCCAAACACACCGCCCGGGCAACGAAGGAGTGGCTTCGTAAGAAGCATTTCAAGGTCCTGGAGTGGCCTAGCCAGTCTCCAGATCTCAACCCCATAGAAAATCTTTGGAGGGAGTTGAAAGTCCGTGTTGCCCAGCGACAGCCCCAAAACATCACTGCTCTAGAGGAGATCTGCATGGAGGAATGGGCCAAAATACCAGCAACAGTGTGTGAAAACCTTGTGAAGACTTACAGAAAACGTTTGACCTGTGTCATTGCCAACAAAGGGTATATAACAAAGTATTGAGAAACTTTTGTTATTGACCAAATACTTATTTTCCACCAGAATTTGCAAATAAATTCATTAAAAATCCTACAATGTGATTTTCTGGATTTTTTTTTCTCATTTTGTCTGTCATAGTTGACGTGTACCTATGATGAAAATTACAGGCCTCTCTCATCTTTTTAAGTGGGAGAACTTGCACAATTGGTGGCTGACTAAATACTTTTTTCCCCCACTGTATCTTGATTAGATAGGTATGTTAGAATCACCTTTGGCAGCGATTACAGCTGTGAGTCTTTCTGGGTAAGTCTCTAAGAGCTTTCCACACCTGGATTGTGCAACATTTGACATTATTATTTTCAAAATGCTTCAAGCTCTGTCAAGTTGGTTGTTGATCATTGCTAGACAACCATTTTCAGGGCTTGCCATAGATCTTCAAGTAGATTTAAGTCAAAACTGTAACTCGGCCACTCAGGAACATTCACTGCCTTCTTGGTAAGCAACTCCAGTGTAGATTTGGCCTTGTGTTTTAGGTTATTGTCCTGCTGAAAGGTGAATTCATCTCCCAGTGTCTGGTGGAAAGCAAACTGAACCAGGTTTTCCTCTAGGATTTTGCCTGTGCTTAGCTCCATTCCGTTTCTTTTTTATCCTGAAAAACTCCCAAGTCCTTAACTATTACAAGCATACCCATTACATGATGCAGCCACCACTATGCTTGAAAATATGGAGAGTGGTACTCAGTAATGTGTTGTATTGGCTTTGCCCCAAACATAACACTTTGTATTCAGGTTTTTGAAGTATTATTTTAGTGCCTTGTTGCAAACAGGATGCATGTTTTGGAATAGTTTTATTCTGTACAGGCTTCCTTCTTTTCACTTTGTCAATTAGGTTAGTATTGTGGAGAAACTAAAATTACTAAAACTTAAAGTTTTCTCCTATCACAGCCATTAAACTCTATAACTGTTTTTCTTTCCTTCTTTCTGTTCTTTCCAAAACACTTGAGCGTGCTGTCTCTGATCAACTTTCTCATTATCTCTCTCAGAACAATCTTCTTGACCCTAACTAGTCAGGCTTCAAGACAGGTCACTCAACCGAGACTGCTCTTCTCTGTGTCAGGAAGACTCTCCGCACTGTCAAAACTGACTCTCTCTCCTCTGTTCTCATCCTCCTAGATCTAATAGCTGCCATCGACACCGTGAACCATCAGATCTTCCTCTCCACCCTCTCAGGGCTGGGCGTCTCAGGCTCTGCACACTCTTGGATTGCATCCTTCCTGGCAGGCTGCTCCTACCAGGTGACATGGAGAGGATCTGTGTCTGCACCACTTACTCTCACTACTGGTGTCCCCCAGGGCTCGGTTCTAGGCCCTCTCCTCTTCTCTCTATACACCAAGTCACTCGGCTCCGTCATATCCTCACATGGTCTCTCCTATCATTGCTATGCAGATGACACTCAACTACTTTTCTCCTTCCCCCCTTCTGACACCCAGGTGTCGACACGCATCTCTGCGTGCCTGGCAGATATCTCAACTTGGACGTCAGCCCACCACCTCAAGCTTAACCTCGACCAGACGGAGCTGCTCTTCCTTCTGGGGAAGGCCTGCCCGTTCAAAGACCTCTCCATCACGGTTGACAACTCTAGTGTCGCCCTCCCAGTGCAAAGAACCTTGGTGTGACCCTGGACAACACCCTGCCGTTCTCTGCAAACATCAAAGCAGTGACTCGCTCCAACATCCGTAGAATATGACCCTACCTCACGCAGGAAGCGCCGCAGGTCCTAATCCAGGCACTTGTCCTCTCCCGTCTGGACTACTTCAACTCGCTGTTGGCTGGGCTCCCCGCTTTTGCCATCAAACCCCTGCAACTTATCCAGAACGCTGCAGCCCACCTGGTTTTCAACCTCCTCAAGTTCTCTCATGTCACCCCGCTCCTCCACATACTCCACTGGCTTCCAGTCGAAGCTCTCATCCACTACAAGACCATGGTGCTTACCAACGGAACAGCAAGGGGAACTGCAACGCCCTACCTTCAGGCTATGCTCAAACCTTACACCCTAACCCTACATCCTTCCTCTGAGTTAGGAAGGATGCCTGTATCTTTGTAGTGACTGGGTGTATTGATACACCATCCAAAGTGTAATTAATAATTAATAACTACCAATAGGTGCCCTTCTTTGCGAGGCATTGGAAAACCTTCCTGGTCTTTGTGGTTGAATCTGTGTTTGAAATTCACTGCTCGACTGAGAGACCTTACAGATAATTGTATGTGTGAGGTACAGAGATGAGGTAGTCATTCAAAAATCATGTTATACACTATTATTGCTGTCACAAGAATTTTGTTATCTCAATGGTTGAAGTCAACTTCTTCTTAAATCTCTGAATAATTCCCAAAAGGTTGTAAATCTCTTAGTTTAAATAAATTAAACAAAGACTCAATCCTGCAATGGTCAGCATATTTATTCATGAGAGCGCTCTGAAACAAAATGGTCGTACAATATTTTTATACGCACATGTCAGAGGGAAAATCCCACCCCTCTTTAGGCGGGCTGTAGTTTTCCACTGGAAAACTGCTCTCCTGACCATCAGGTCACACACACACACACACACACACACACACACACACACACACACACACACACACACACATACACACACACACACACATACACACACACACATGCACTCTTCCAAGCCTAATGGTTTCTCTCCTCCCTAAATTGGGAGGCCTCTTTATCTTGGTTTCTCAGTTGTCTGTAGACAGTTCTACTTGTCCTTTGTTATCTGGTCTAACTTCTACTCACATTGCTAAATAGTAACACAATGTCATAATCTTTACTGGTCCTACACACACACACATTATTAGATTATAGTCTCAGGATTCTAACACATTTAATAAAGTGGAGTGTAATAATTAGTCATTAACAAATTATTCTATCAATTGCACACAGAGTGAATCCATGCAATTTATAATGTGACTTGTTAAGCACATTTCTACTCCTGAACCTATTGAGGCTTGCCATAACAAAGGGGTTGAATACTTATTGGCTCAAGACATTTCAACTTTTCTTTTTTTATTAATTTGTAAACATTTCGAAAAACATAATTCCACTTTGACATTATGGGGTATTGTGTGTAGGCCAGTGACAAAAAAAATCTCAATTTAATCCATTTTTAATTCAGGCTGTAACACAACAAAATGTGTAAAACGTCAAAGGGTGTGAATACTTTGTGAAGGCACTGTATGTGTAAATGGCATAGAAATGGCATAATATCAAGGAACTGAGCCTCACCACAATTATTCTGATTTAGGAGGGACAAAAGTAAAAAATGTATCATCAAATCTACTTTATAGATTTATTTGGGGTGATGAAGAAAATGATAAGCTTTTTATTGATTATAAAGTTGCCGTTTATACAACTTCATTTAAAAAGTGAAAGTCTTAATGATCAGCCCAGATATGCAGCCAGTGAAACAGTAAAATCTCTGTAATTTCTGTACGTTTTTATTACACTTTGTTTATCATTACAATTCACTGGGGGTGCATATGATTTACGATGCTATTTGTTTTACAAAGCAATTATGGTGCAATGATTTCTATGAGCAGCGTGCATAATTCAAAACCAATAAACAATCATTAACTTCTCTTAGAGTCAAGACATATCAATGGCATCCACCCTGTAAATGTACTGTATGGGTCATAAGCAGTCTTAAAAACAATGATGGATTCCGTTATTTTCTAGTAAGAAACACAAAAATAAAACCCTGCCCTATGTAAGCCCATAGCTTTCCCAGGTTGCAGAAACATGTTGATGCCAAGACCATTACTGATATAAATATTTCAACAAGATTGATGGAAAAAACGTATATTATTCTGTTCCCTGAACATACTAAAAGAAGACAAACACACACAGGCAAGAACCAGCTCTGATCTTCCTCAAAATACCTGGATCACTTTAGTTAACACAACACAGCATTTTCATACTCCTCTCTCCAAGGTCAAAGAGGAGAGACATCTTGAGAACGGGGAGAGATGAAAAGAGAAAACAGAGGCTGGGCTCAGTGATAGTGCCATCCTTCTGCATTTGCAAGACAAAAGTATGGATGAGGGCCAGCGTTGCTGTGGCAAGTGGGAGACACATGGGTTAAAGTGATGAATGGTGCCTGGGCTCCAGGTAGAGCAACACCAAACACAATAACTTACTGTACAGTACTGCCTCTCAGCCCAGAGACTACACACCACTTCTGGGTGGTCTACTGTAATTATTTTATTTTTTACATATAACTGGCTGAATTACATAAACCGCAATCATATAGTTGCCACTAAGTAGGCTATTAAGAAAGTCATTGCATTAGATCATTAGAAAGTTTTAATTTTGCTTGTTAGATAAATTGAGCAAATTGATTGAGCTGAAATTGACTATCCATTAAGGGCTGTTATCTGTGCTCACTCTGCTGTCTGTGTCTCTCTGCAGGGCGATGGCTCCACGTTCCTCCAGCTGGGCTCCTCCATCGAGCAGCAGATCAACGGCATGTTCAAGGTGATGGAGGAGTACAACTGGGACAGCTTCGTGGTCATCACCAGCCTGTACCCGGGCTATGAGGTCTACGTGGACTATGTCAAGACCTTCACCGACACCAGCTACTTCATGTGGGAACTGCAGGACGTGCTGACCTTCGACATGTCTGCTGACGGCATGAACGACATCCGGGCACGGCGCCTGCTGCAGCAGATCGACGCCCAGGTGCTGCTGGTATACTGCTCCCATGAGGAGGCCCAGTACCTGTTCAGTATGGCCAGAGAGGCCGGCCTGCTGGGGCCTGGCTACATCTGGATCCTCCCCAGCCTTGCCGTGGGGAACCCAGACATGCCCCCACCAAACAGCTTCCCTGTGGGCCTCATCAGCATCATCACTGACCGCTGGCGGATGAGCCTGAGGAAGAGGGTGCGGGACGGGGTGGCCATCGTGGTCAAAGGGGTGCAGAGCTTCCGCAAACAGAGGGGCTTCATCCCCGAGGGCCATAACGACTGCCACAGCCCTGTTAGGGCATCTTCTAATGATACACTATTCAGGTGTGTGGAGGTGGGGGGGATGGAAGGGGGGCATACTGACATACTGTAGGTTCAAGATTGTTCATTGCAATAAGAAAAGCCAACCAAAATGGAGAGATTAAGTGATAACTGTAGCAGATAGAGAAGGACTGACTTGAAACAGAGAGAGAGAGTTGGCAACATCAGTCAACAGTTGCTCAACAGTCATTTAGCTGTGGCTTTCCATCTGCTTAATGTTGTGGTGGCGGGTAACATGGTAGTCTCCATGTTACTCCCTTAACCCCTGCCTGCCAACTCATCCATCCTACCTCTGTCCCATCACCTCACTGTTGGAAGCACTGGCATCACAGAGAGATGATGTGTCCTGTCATACTAGCCCAGCCCAAAAGAGCAATCTGGTGCCATCTGTGCCAGGGAACATGGAGCAAATCCTATTTGGTTCGAGAACATTTTTAATCAGCCAAAGGGAGGCTCGGCTTCTGTAGGGAAAACAGATTCAGCGTCAGCATTTGAGACTGGACTGGGAGGATTGGGGAGTTTCCAGGCAGGGTACAGGGGGGTATTCTTTATTAATTTTTGCAGACCAGGATCGTAATATGAAATCTGACACAGTTCAGTGGTATTAAAACATCACTTTCTCCTCAGAAGTAATTTTCTATTTTCTGAAAGTGGCTAGCCTGAGGGAAAGATAACTTCTCTTTTTGTAAATCGAAATCCTTCATGAAAAAGGAGAAACGTCTGGGCAGCTGTATTTCAGCCTTTGATTTGAGTCATACTGCTGTTCCAACCCCTACTATTTCCACTTTAAAGGCAAAAATGTCCTGAGTCGAATAGCAATGACCAAAGAGTTGGTAATATGAGGGTCCGGCAGGCCTGCTACAGCACTCTCCGTCTGCTCACCACTCTTTTATTTCCCTCCCTGGCACAACGTTGTTCTTTCTCACAGACCCTATTCAAAGGGAGACACTTCAAACGGTGCAGTGCCTCGCTCTCTCCTCGGCGGTCAATAGATTCAACACCTCATTTAATTAGGTCTTTTTTTAATGAGCTTTTGATTATAAATCACTCCACCTGTTAATAAGATTATCACAGATTACCAGATTAAACAAGCCTTTCACATGGACTAGACAGAGGGCCCGTTCATTACCCAGCATGCTTTCATCACCTCTGCTGGACTGAGAGAGAGAGCAGCCTCGCAGGGCGTGATGACAGGGAGTTCACAGCATGTCAATAGCTATGTGCAAAACAAGCAGCATGTGGTGCTTTAGAAATAGGATGAAACCATTGGAAGATTGGATTAATGGGCATTAACGACTATTAGTACAGTGTTGTAATGAGTATTTAACCCTCTGATTGATTTCCCTTGTTTCCAGGCACATGTTAAACGTAACATGGGAACACAACGACTTCTCGTTCAACCCTGAAGGGTACCTGATCAACCCAGCCATGGTCATCATCACCTTAGACCGGGAGAGACAGTGGGATAAGGTGAGACATTACACTTCATTATATTCCTCCCAATCAGTAAAACTAGGGTTGGTCTTTGTGTTATCTGACTACAAGGTAATAAGGCTATATAACCTGCTCATTACGAAAGGAAAAACTCCAGAAAGTGTTATTAACAACACATTAATTACTTAATTACTTCCTCATTCACCCTGTATTTTCATGAACTATCCCTGACAGGTCTTGACTTGGGCATATTGTGCGCTGTTACATTTCCTTTGCATCACCTGTTACAAAATGCATGCTGTCCACCTAATAGGCTAGCATTGGGCTCTAACTGCCTCCTACCCATCACAGTGTCCTAATCGGCCACTATACCTCTACATACCACAGGCCTAGTGTGATTACACGTCTGACTGGTCTCTCTATAAACACCAGCTATTCAAATCAGCCAGCCTAGCGTTCCACTACCTCAGAGCCACCAGCTCTTAGCGAACAGAACGTTGTCTCACACTTCATACCCTCTATCTGTAATCCCTTCTTCACCCCCCATGACGAGTCAATGTGAGAAATTCTGCAGCCTCAATTACCAGCAGGCTTTATTGAAGGTAGATATTGTCAGGGGGTTCCCAGTAGGGAGTAGACACTGAAGGGAGGTGGAGGATGGTTTTCTTCCTTAAATGCAGTCAGTGGTTGAATGGAGGTTGATGTGTGTCAGAACATGTTGGGCCAAACCTCATCTCTGGGTAAACACCCCCGGGCCTTCTCCAGCTTATTACGTGCTATCGATGTTCTCTCAAGTTTGGTTCCTAATAATTTCAGATATGTTATTGAAATTTAGGCCTATGCCTCTGTAATTGAAGGGTCTGACAGTGTACTGTACTGTAGGCTATCAGATGTGTGGTGGGTCAGAGAGAGAGAGGGTAGTAGTCTATTGACAGCTTGAGCCAATGGAAAGGTTGCAATTAAAAATACAACAGAAGATGAATGAGCAGTGTAGTGAATCCACTTTGAGGTTGAGATGTCAACAAGCTTACTGCTGGACGTGATCAATAAGACTCATCATTAGACTCCGTTACTGGAAATATCTGAGCTACTCAAAAAAGTTACCTGAAGTGATTCTTCAAAAGAATAACAAGAAAACATGCTCATTCATTGCAGATCAATGAGGCAAACGTACACTGAGTGTACAAAACATTAGGAACTCTTTCCATGACATAGACTGACCAGGTGAATCCAGGTGAAAGCTATTATCCCTTTTCACTTCAATCAGTGTAGATGAAGGGGAGGAGACAGGTTAAATAATAATTGTTTTGCCTTGAGACAATTGAGACATGGATTGTGTATGTGTGCCATTTAGAGGGTGAATGGGCAAGACAAAATATTTATGTGCCTTTGAACGGGGTATGGTAGTAGGTGCCAGGCGTACCGGTTTGAGTGTTTTCAAGAACTGTAACGCTGCTGGGTTTTTCATGCTCAACAGTTTCCCAGAATGATCCTCCACCCAAAGGACATCCAGCTAACTTGACACAACTGTGAGAAGCATTGGAGTCAACATGGGCCAGAATCCCTATGGAACGCTTTGGAAACCTTGTAGTGTCCAGCACTCCTTCATTCTCCCCTTCGCTCAATTCATTTTTTAATTTTCCTTTGTGTTCCACCTTAAACTGCACCTTGCTTTTACTCCTTATCCTGGCAAAGAGAAGGAGGAGGAGAAGAAGAGGAGGAGAAGAAGAGGAGGAGAAGAAGAGGATAAGTCTTTCTCTCTCCTTAGTTTTAGCCAGTCTGAGCCTTACAGTATGTTTCTGGATTTGACAACAGCTAATGGGGATCCTAAGAAAATACAACAAATACCAAATCATTAGGAACATTGCTCACTCCAAGTATTATCCAAGCTCAGGCTATAGGCATTTGAGATCTTGGCTCCCTCTCTCATCTCCAATATGTTACAAAGGCAAACTGACAAGTCTGTTCTTTGACACAAACAAAGAGGTTTGGCTCTGTAAAGCCAGTAAAAAGAGTGAGGGGACACTCTTACTCTCTCTTTTCCTCTTAAAGCTGGTAAACTACGCATCTTTTCACCAAGCGCTTAGAATCAATCTCTCCTTCTGATTGCTTTTGTTATTTCTACTAGAAGTCCCAGCCACTCATCGCATTGTGTTCAGTCATCTCGGAAACAACCCCCCACAGCTCAGCTCTCACCCATGATATTTCCTGGCACACTAAAGACTGATGGCACACTCCTCTGCTCATTTATTATCCAGGTAAATCACCACAGTGCTCTTTCCAAATGTAGTTGGGCTGACAGTTGATGGTCAGCCATTCTTTACAACAGACAAAAATACTTATCCTCCAGCTACAGTACTATCCAGATCCTCCACCCTCGAGCCTCTTCCCACCCAAAAAAAGTCAGCTTGGGAGAAGAGGAGAGAGAGAGCGAGAGAGAGCGAGAGCGAGACGGAAATAGAGAGAGAGAGAGAGAGAGAGAGAGAGAGAGAGAGAGAGAGAGAGAGAGAGAGAGAGAGAGAGAGAGAGAGAGAGAGAGAGAGAGAAAACATTGAGGAAGAGACAGGAAGTGATATAGAGATGAGTGAGAATGAAGCCCTGGAGGCTGGAGCCTGCTCCCGTCACAGCTCCTATCCTGCTGGTTGATATACAGTGTTGGGGAAGCGACTGCTTCCTAGACGTACATTTCCTCCAGTCCTCCTGAAATTATAGCGAGGTACACAGGAAGTTGATTTCCAAACACTTCTGGGGTCAAAATATTTGTTCAATAGGCTCCTCATGATATATGGTCTCGAAGTGACATAGTCAATTAAACTTTTTCTGTTTCCAGTCTACAAGGGAATAAAGTTGTCACGGATTCAGCAGAGGCTGCTCCTCCTCCTTGCGCGGGCAGGCTTCGGCGTTCGTCGTCCCCGGAGTACTAGCTGCTGCCGATTGATGGTTCGGTGTTTGTCTTGTTTAGTCTTTATTGTTTACACCTGTTCCCCATTATGTTTGATTGTATTCCCTATATTTACCCCTGTCTCTCATTTGGTATTTTGTGTGTTATTGTTTGTTGTCATTTCCGGCAGTTCGTGTATGTACGGGTCTTTGTGCTTTCCTCCCTGTTTTGGAGGTTTGTTGTTGTGTACGTTGATTTTACTGTGTTCAGTAAATAACGTTGCCAGCCGCTCTGTGTCCTGCTTTTGACTTCGCTACCGCATACACGTCGCATGACAAAAGTACTAGTTCACTCACAACTCATAGAACACAATCGGAAACTTTCTTCAAACAGAGCTTCAGGATATTATATTGTTTATAACTAAAATAAGTTGCTTAAAAACCTATTAGGTCAAAGAGACCTGGTTGAGATTACCTTCTAACAGTCATTTCTAGATAACAAGCATTGGGTGTTTAGCAGGCTGCTTCAGTGTGGAGTTGTGTGTGATAACGTGGCCCCGTGGGCAGTGTGGGGAGGAGCTTCATTTCGCTAGCAGCATGGCGGTGGATTCTAATGAGCCACAGGGCTGAGATGCGTTTCATCCCAGTGCATTTTGATGAGATTTACCATTGTGATCCATTGACAAGCCCATAAACTGGGAGAAAGGAAAACAAGAGGATTAATCAATAGTCTGGCAGGAGAGACAGGAATAACTATTTTGTTGTCCTTTGTGACATTTACATTTTAGTAGACACTCTTATCCAGAGCGACTTACAGTTAGTGAGTGCATATATTATTTTATTTTTTCATACTGGTCCCCCGTGGGAAACGAACCCACAACCCTGGCGTTGCAAACACCATGCTCTACCAACTGAGCTACACAGGACTACCTGACAATAATGACTGCAATAATCAGATAACATCATCATGGCTTCCAGTATTAGTATGAGAGATTCTTATGAAGCAAAGGCATTTGTCAGTGGTACGGGTTGACCTCCTGTTTCTCCTAAAGGGTTATGATAAAACGTTTAGGACAGCCAATCATTTTCCAAAGTAAGCAGAATTATGCAGTCTTTGACTCTGCTGTAAAATCAAATAAGAGGTGATGCAAATTAAATGACAATTTCTCATGTGTGAGGTCAGTTGCTTGTGATCATCGTGATATTAAAATATGTGATTTAGATTTTGCTCAGATATGTCAAATATTATTATTGTTATTGTAAAGTTTTAAATTTCAGTGCTCATTTTATTGCGTCTTAGATGTCTCAGTGTTGGCCAAGCATTATTTTAGTGACCCCCTGACATGAATTAAAGATGGCAGTGCAATCCATACATTCTAAAAGGGTATTGACCAGTCTTCTGCCTTTGTAGAGGTAGCTGATTGAACACAAACATGTTGTTAAATGTTCTTAATGTGAGCAATGAAATGGTTTTACCCTGCAGCCTTTTGCTGCTGATGCTTGTGACAATCCGCCAATATATTGACAGAAACATAAAAGTTGGTCAATATGGTCAATGTGCAAACACAGTAACAATGAATACAATTATCAACACAGTTCACAATCCATTTTAATGTGGCGCCGTAATAATTAGGAGGCATAAAAAGCAATCAAAACAAAAACATTCTGGAGAGAATACTTATTTGTAGCGTTTGTCTCTTTGTTTAACCTTAAACAACTCTCAATTATGGAACTTCACTGATTAAAGGCACAATATGTTTGCCATTAAGAACGATTAAATCATCATCACTATGTAAACGTTTACAACCTCATCCTCAACGCATAAAACCATAGAGAACAATAATAGAAGTGTTACTTGCGTTGGGCTCTGTGAAAGCCACAGTTTAATTACTGGGTGTGATCACTTGTTTTCTGAGTCACTGCAATGAAGCAGAGAAGTGCTGTTCAGCATACTGAACTACTTCATCACCACTGAGATGGAGAACTGTGTTTGGTAATGGAGGAAACAGCAGATAAAGAGTTTGGTCCTCTGTGACCCGCTGATCCTCACAGCTTGAGAACAGATGTTCAGAGTGAGACTAGACAAACTTCTCTAACTTAGTACAAGGAGACATCACAGGTGGTGCAACTCCTCAGTGTGTGCCTCAGGATTGTTGAGGTCTATTTCAAATGGGAAAAGATCTTGTCTTTCTGCATCCTGATATATATTTGATTGACTGCATGTTTTCCTAGTGGAAATGAGAGAATCCATCATTTAGCATTCACAACAGGAGAATGTATTACGTTTTTTTCGTCGTCTCTGTAATAAAATATAATAAAATACACAGGAAAATGGATAACAAAACATGCAGACCTGGAAATAACATTTCCTCCACTTAATCTATCTTGGCATTTCCCACACGGCTGCATTGAAATCAGACACAAATACTCTGAGGAGTAGTTTGAGATGTGATTGTATTGCAGGTTTAAATACCGATAAGCTAAAGTATGACTCATGCCTGTTCTTTTCCCTTCTCTCTCTTGTCTTCCAGGTGGGGAACTATGAGATGGGGATCCTGCAGATGAGATACCCGGTGTGGCCTCGCTACGGCACCTATCTGGAGCCTGTATCAGATAACAGACACTTGACTGTGGCCACCCTGGAGGAACGTCCCTTTGTCATAGTGGAGGCTGTCGACCCCATGACTGGGACCTGTGTCAGCAACACTGTGCCCTGCCGCCGCCAGTCCAACAAGACAGAGACGTGAGTGGTACAAAATTCCTTGAAACCTTTTGGTCTTCTCTGACATTAATGACAACACACTTTTTCTGATTAGAAGAATGAAACAGAGCATAAAATTGTAGTGTACTACTATGGTCATGTACATCCATTATCCTGTTTCACTAACCATTACTTATTGTCAGTGGCGATTTTAGCATGTAAATCTTGGTGGGGCAAAAAACGAACAATTTTAGATGCATGCCAGCAAAGCCACTACACAACACAACACTAAACAATAGATTAATTGCACTGACAAACGGTGCCCACAAACTGTTAGGGCCTACATAAAGCTGTCCCAACAGCAGAGCTTTCTTTTCAGCACCATGGAGTGAATCCTTACCACTGCTTCACCTGGCTATCAGCGGAGCCTTGTCTGGCAGCAAAACAGTTCATTCAGCCTCATTTACTGCCTTTTTAAAAAGCATAGCTGATATGGCTGACTTGCTTAAACAAATGTGGTTCTTCTGACATTTGAGATGCACAAACTATGGCATAAGAGGACGACGAGCAGATAAGAGGCAATCCGTAATTTCGATTAAGACATTAATGAGCGAGCTAGGATGGACATAGTCAATATAACTATTTGTTCAGCACTTTTGAAATGTACAGTGACAGAATTCAGAACATGGGCCGTTCTTACAGTATTCTCCATGTAAACCAAGTCCGAACTGTAGGATAAATAAAGGGGGCATATAAGCAGACAATGAAAGCTCTTACAATATTAGATGATTACATTTCTCTAAAACAGGCTATAGGCTACATGTGCACCACCAAGTCAGAACAGTAGGCTAAGTTATGAGGGGGAAAGGGACCAAATTATTAGGGTGAGGCACATGGGCTACTAACAGCTTTCTACATAACATGCACTTAGTATTACTTTCTTAGCTACAGTATCCATATCTCCCTGGCATATTACATCATTTATGCAGCAGCATACAATACATTTTTGGACTCACCTTGTTGTGCTGCGCTTACTTGAACAGAAAGGTGGAGTGGCGGTCCTTGTGGGAACATTTTGTCATCAAACTTTGTCATCGAAGTCTGACATTCTCTGGATTTATGGTGCTTTCAAGACAACTAGGAACTCCGAAAAAAACAAGGTCGAATCATGACGTCAGTGATCTTCAGGTCGGAGCTCTAGAAAGAGGCCCGAGTTCCCGACTTGGAATTCCGAGTTGGATGACCATTCAAAATGTATTTTCCCAGTCGGAGCTTGTTTTCTTCACAGTTCTTGAAATCACTGAAGTCTGAGATTTCCCTGTTCCGAGTTTCCAGTTGTATTGAACGCGGCAGAAGTCATGCTGGTTTGACAGCATGGCCAATATATTCAACCTTTTCTGGCCCATGGCATGTGAATGTTTAACCTTTTAAGCTTAGAAAAGAGACCCTTAAACTCAGACTTGGACCATACACCCACTCCACTGAATAGCAGGCTAGTGATTGCTTTACAATGCTTGCAGTTAGCCACTGATTTCTTCCAAACCACTCATTGTTGAATTTGCGATTTCCAACTTGTTGTGTAATGTTTATGTCCAATGAGCACCAATACGATGAGCACCAATACGTTTTATCTATAATTTCTCTTCATATGACAAGGATTGAAAAGGATTTGCCAGTAGATTGTCGACGTGATTCATGATGATGACTGCTTGTCTAGCTTGCTAGCTAAGATTTCAAAAGTATGATGTTGACATGATCAGTCCAATCAAAGCTACAGTAGATATAATGTGATTTGACTTAATTTTATCTGTGGCGATTGACCTTGAGCCTTCTTGGATGGGCACTTCTAATGTAACTCTATGGCAGCACCCAAGGGGCTTGAATTTTCTAGCTCTCCCCGTAGACGTAGTGTCCCCATGAGTGACAGAACACTGAGCCAATCACGGCGCAACTAGAGAACATTATCAACCCCTACGCTCCATATTTTCCGCTGGCTGCCCCACTACCCACAGAAAGCACTGAGCTAGGCTGAAACACCTGCATTTTGGAGCTGCCTTACTAAAGAATGCAAAAAAGAGACCACGTTTGTATGCCGCTTTATTAACTCAATGATTTATATGTTTACATTGTTTGCAAACTGATATGTGACACGTATTAATGCCAAAATATTTTTTTTTTAGCTAAACAGGTGGGCCTAAAAACAGGTGGGCCCCCCTTCCCTGAATGACGGGTCACCACTGCTTGTTGTATGTAAACTGAGCTAACACCTACCACATACACCATATTAATGACACCATACTAACCCATTGGTGTTACAATCCCACATACGGTCCCACATGTAGAACATGCTGTGGTTGATTAATTTGGACTGTAACTTGGAGAGTGCCATTAGGTGTGAAGAGGATGAACAGTCTCTTCCCCTACCATTAGCCCAGCCGTGAGTCCTTATCACACAATGGGGTGAGATCCTCATTAAAGCAGACAGCCAGAGTGCGACATTACAATAATCACAGTGTGACCCAATAAGGGAAATATATGTGCTGCTTGCTGGGATATCAATTAGATGGGCCGATTAGGCCTCCTCATCAATCCTGGACACCTAGAGACTGATAGTGATGTTCATTAGTGAATGGATATGGGGAAAGGAAACATTATCCATTACTGACAATGGTGTTAATGAGAAGAGGGGATGAGCTCAATTCAGTGAAAATCTGCTTGGGAAGCAGACCGGGTCTTTTTTTTTAGCTTGCACTGACCAAAACACCCCATTATTATAATCTGCATAATTCTAGTGTGTTTTGTCTTGACTTATATAGCAGTTTGCCATGTTGAACAAGGAAACATTTTCCTTGAGTTCATATAGGAGAAATTGGATAAACCAAGTAACTAACTAAATGATGCAGTTAGTGGGTTGAGATAGAGACCCAGTGATTGATAATGGTAAAACACCAACAGCCATGCCACTAAAGACCAGCCCTGGGGGCTGATGCTGATAATGGACCCCTATGCTGTGGTGTTTTTTAATCCTGGCCGCCAGTCATATTTCCTGGCCGGCAGGACAGAGAGCTAGAGGACCTGGCAGACTCATTTATTAAGGGCCATCGGTGGCCTCTCTCAGAAACCTCTTCCATGCCCCAAGACTCCCGCCGAGGCCCATAACACCCATAACTCACACCTACACGACTCGTCCGAGCTGGGCGCCAGCGCTACAAGCCATCCGTCAGGTGGGAGTATTTCTGGGCCCTCTGTTCCCTCAGCAGACGAGAGAAATGAGAGCGGACCATCTGTGCGGCTTCACGTGGAGACACACTTATTCCTCCTTCGAGAGACTAAACAAACAGTCACTCTGTTCGCACTGCTCCACTGTGGTCAGACTGATATAACTCCTCCTTATGTGTCAGGTTGTCCAGAGAGACAGGTCCTATTCTTCTGTAAAGCTCTTTGTAACGTTTTTCACTTCACTAGCTTGGTACAGACCCATACATTGACCACACATGTCAGCGCATTATCCTCTTGCCATTGCTGGTGATCCCTAGGTGAACAGTAGCGTTGACGTTAGACGACGATGTCATCATATAACAATTTTGCCTGATGAGAGTGAGATGATAATAAGTTGATTTGATTAAAGCTGAGCCCCCCCCCCCACACACACACACACACATTGGCAGGAACAATGCACAGCACCGTGGTCCAATTAACTTTGTTTCAAAGGTGAACGTTTCAAGGGCTTGCTGCTGGATATAGGGACCCAAAACAACTGTGCCTTTGGAATTCCTTCAGACAACAAGCAGATATTCATTTACACAAAGAATTGTTTTAGTGGCAACAACAACACACAGACATTTGTATCAAACACACAAACACGTAAACACACATGCACACACACCACACACACACACACACACAGGCACACACATATTCTCTTATATTCCCAAACCTGTTTGGATGCGATCAGCAGCCCACTTAACCTCCCAGCGGTGAACCCTGGCAGCTGGTGAGACAGGGGACTTTGGGACCTGTCTGTTTACTCTGCGATGTCTCACACCACCCGCTCGTTTCCTCCAAACACTTCATTTGTTTCCTTTTGTTGCGGCTGCAGCTCTGCGCCTCCATCGGCTGTCTGTGCGTCTCATTGCCTCTCGCCCTCCTCCTCTTCCCTGTGTCTGAGGGCTGAGGGCACACTCCATTAGACTAAAGATCTGAGGGAGGTTAAGGGTGATGTGTCATTAGTGCTCTCTGCATCTCGTCATGGTTCACTTGGTCCCCCACACTGCCACTGCCTGGCCTCGTCATGGTTCACTTGGTCCCCCACACTGCCACTGCCTGGCCTCGTCATGGTTCACTTGGTCCCCCACACTGCCACTGCCTGGCCTCGTCATGGTTCACTTGGTCCCCCACACTGCCACTGCCTGGCCTTGTCATGGTTCACTTGGTCCCCCACACTGCCACTGCCTGGCCTCGTCATGGTTCACTTGGTCCCCCAAACTGCCACTGCCTGGCCTCGTCATGGTTCACTTGGTCCCCCACACTGCCACTGCCTGGCCTCGTCATGGTTCACTTGGTCCCCCACACTGCCACTGCCTGGCCTCGTCATGGTTCACTTGGTCCCCCACACTGCCACTGCCTGGCCTCGTCATGGTTCACTTGGTCCCCCACACTGCCACTGCCTGGCCTCGTCATGGTTCACTTGGTCCCCCACACTGCCACTGCCTGGCCTCGTCATGGTTCACTTGGTCCCCCACACTGCCACTGCCTGGCCTCGTCATGGTTCACTTGGTCCCCCACACTGCCACTGCCTGGCCTCGTCGTGCCCTCCCTATGCGCCACTGTCAGTGAGCTATGGAATGAGCCCCTCCTCTTTCTGACTGTCTGTTTTCTCCTTCACTCTATACTGGAGGTTTCTAACATCTTCCAACTGCTGCAATATCAATGTGGTCCCTTGAAAAAAGTCAAATATTTCAACATTGTGCACCCACAAGAGACATGGTGTAATTTCAACCCTGTTGACAAGGTCAAACATGGCCCGAAGTCTCCAACATT